ACAAACTGGTGAAAAGCAGCCAGAGTAGAATCCAGTGTGGCATGGTTAAAGTCTCCAGATATAATAATGAAAGCCTCGGGGTTTTGTGTCTGAAGTCTTGCTGTGACTGTGTGTATTTTCTCACAGGCAGCTGTTGCGTCGGCCCTCGGAGGGATGTAAACACACACACAGATCACATGACTGAACTCCCGAGGTAGATAATATGGCCGCAAGCTAACAGCTAGCAGCTCCAGGTCCGGACGGCATACCGAAACTTTTAACGGAGACGTTAAAGACGGAGACGGAGACGTGTCCATTTAGAATTACCAGTTAAAATTGCCACCACAATCATCCCAGTAACTACTTATCTTTGGACTGTGGGCGGAAGCCGGAGTACCTAGAGACATCCTACACAGACACAGGGACAACATGCAAACTCCACATGAAAGGCTCTGGCCAGATAATGGATTCAAACCACTGCTGTCTTATTGCTCTGAGGCAACATTGCTAAGCACTACGCCACCAAACTTCCCCAGAAATTGACTATAATAATGTAATATAAGATACAAAACATGTTACCAAATAATGGATGAGAAGCTCTTATGGGTTCCTCTTTTTACCATGATATAACAAACATTTACATTTTAAATCCTTTCTTGATATCCAGAGCCACAACTTCACTGTCCCCTAGCCAGACTCAACTAGGTCCTGACTAATGGGGCTTTACAGCCATAAAGCTTTGTGGTCTTACATCATGAGCTACTGAAAAGACCAGCCCATCTAACAGTGAGCAAAAGGCTGGTAACAAACAATGGCAGCAATAAAAAACTGGCACATACATGTTTGAAAGAGAGTGGTAATTGGACACACAAACATGCTCACCACCAGAACTTGTCATCATGTATTACAGTTTATCTGACTCTGGAAACATCCACTGATTCAGCTTCAGTAAATTACAAGAGAGCTGCTGATGCAAAGCTCTGTTCCCATGGCGATCTTAATTTTACAGCGCTAAAACTGTAGAGTCTATCAGGGATTAAAAAACTAAACCTACATGTCACAGCATTCAGATGCCACTTATTAGTATGGTGGAAACAGTAGTTTACTTACAGCTCTCACAGCTCTCTCTTTCTACAGTTGCAAAAGTATTTAGGAGTTAATAAAGAGTGTGCCACTGAAATCTACATCCCAAGCCTAAAAACTATATTTCATATTTGGGTCCAAGGACAAGAAATTGAGTGAAAGTATCTCAAAGCAGAAAGAGGATGAAGAAGGTACAGCACTTACTGCCTGGGGCTTGATCATCCTGATCATCTGGGAAGAGATCATCCAAAGTCTCTTTGGTAGAGTCTGAATCCTTTTCTTCCTGAAAGGGGAGAGAGGAAGAGAGCAAGCAGGATGATCAGTGAAGGGAGAGAGGACCAAAAGCAAAAAGGAGGAGATATTGCTCATGAAATAGCTGAATGTTTCTAAATGATGAGAGAAACACTCCCAATCTATTACCAGATAGAGTCATTTTGTACTTTGGGTCTAGATCACACATACTTAAAACGTGTGAGATGGTGTATACTGACATCTTTTGATTGTATCTGCTTTTGATAAGGTGCTTGGGGGGAAAACCCCCCAAAATATTGGTTCCAATGATAAGATGGGCACGCATATTTTAGATAAAAGCATCGCAACACATTCTTAAGCCCTGAGCACTCACAGAGGGGGACAAGTCCTCGTCGTACTTCTTCAGCTGGTTCATAAACTCCAGGTGCTTCTTTTCCTCCTCCAGCTGAGCCACGCTCTGCTCGCTCTTCTGCAGTTTCTGCTGTGTCCCGGCCAGCTCGTCCCTTAGCCACTGGTTCTCCTGGCAGAGTCGGCGTACCTGTACCCTCAGCTTCTGCTTCTCAGACTCAACTGAGCTCAGGTGGTTTGAAAGCGCCATCATCACCTGCAAAGAGGAGGCGGTTATGCTGCAATGTCTGCAATCATACAGACCCTTTTGTATTTACAGTTGGGTTTATGCTCTCATAACAACATTTACACTAATAATTGTAGTAGAAGGTTGTCTACTAAAACAATTCCACCAAAGCCATGTGGATGGTAGATAGTAAAACTATCTAGGAGTAAGTGTGCACTTGCCATCACAACTACATGTGTGTCCACTAATGTTAGAGTGAGGCACTTTGGGTAAAAGCATACAGTCTAAGGTGAAAGGCTCGGAGGGCTGTAATTAGATGAGGGGTGTTTGAGCAGGAAAATTACACTTTACCACAACTCCAAGCAAAAATGCTGGAGGTAGAAAATTCAGTCTGTGGGGTGTGTGCACGGTGTATTGTATATTTATTAGACAAAGCTTGCTGGGAGATGGCGATGAAAGGCTAAAGCATCAACAATGAATCAGCGCTGACTCATTCACTGCTTGTGAAATGAAATGTGAAGTGAAATGACGAGAGCAAATATTCTGCATAATTTCAAGGCTTTAAAGCTTCTATATGTTCTTTTCCCCAATCGACCAAACAAAAAGTAGAATTACAAGCTAGAGAGAAACACTCCCGTGTCAAGAGAATTCTAATGATCTAATCCACTATGGACTTGAATATATTTTTACCTTTTACTGTGTCTATTGCAAGGAAAGATGGTGTTCAGTAAAGGCAAGATTCTTGCTGTTTTCACTAAACTTGTGATATTAATTATCCAGGTGAAAACCACCTGCTGTCCTCTGCTGTCCTTTCTACACAGTAGAAAGTAGAAAGAAGAGAACCTACTATCCTTAAACTTAAAAAGGGAAGATTTAAATGTGTAACCACTCACAAACAGCTTGCCTTTTTATTATGTTTTGTTAAAAGACATGTAGATTAAATTGCTTGTTGCCTGAATCTCCTGCCCAGACCAACCTAAATGAATAACAGAACAGTCTAACATCCATAGTGATATTAACCAATCACTGAAGCTCTACACACATACTTGAGCCTCGCTGAGCCCAAGTTCCAGCATCTCCAGGGACTTGCGGATCATGTGCGATTTTTCCTCCACGAGAACGCCCTCCTCATCCTGCTTCAGGCAGCGCAACGTGCCCAGAAGGCCCTCCAGGATGGAGTGGTGCTCTTGCTTCAGGGCCTCCAATCCTTGAATCACCTGCTTGGTTCGGGAAATGATCTCATCCTGGGACAGCTTCTCCCCAGGATCCTCCTCCTCCTTCACACACACCATGGTGGACATGTCCTCACGCATCCTGCAGAGAAAGCGAATAAATTAACATAACAGGAAAAAAGGTTGCATTAAAATATTTTGTCTTGGAAGTCCTCATAACACAAGATTCCTTACAGGCTCTAATGAGGGAGGGAAAAGAATTTTCTACGGACACTAAAAACAGCGTGTTGTCATGTAAAGATGGTATCCACTTGTCTTATGACTGTCACAGATGTTTAACATGGTAAAAAACTAACAGCAGACCATGAAAACAGGATTCAGCAGAAATGTGACATAGTGGTTAAAGGACAAACAGGTAACCTTTTTCTTCAAAGTCACAATCCTCTGACCTTTTCTTGTCTCATGGCCAAATAAACAGCCTTTCATGACGATGACTCATCTCATAAAATCAATTATGCTGCAAGTGAGAAACGGCTCTGGTTTATGAAAAGGTCAGACAATGTGTTTCTGACTGGACGGCTACTGGGACAGGGGTGTAGGAAGCTCACTTTGAGGGAATTGGTAGGAAAAGTCTGTGCTTCTTCAGCTCTACACTCAAGGTGCCTTGAAAAGAGGCCCTGACTGAAGCACCTGTTTTGAAAAGCTCGTGAGAGCAGCATCAGCAGAGGTTTGTAGTAGAAGACGGAGCATGATTGAAGATTACCACTTGTAAAAGTGTTCTAAAAACAAAACAAAAAACAAACAAACTTAAGAATCACCATTTAAGATTGTTTAATAAAAAGCAGGTCTTAGGTTCAGCTGTCATTATAAGTTTAAACCAAACCAAAGAAGTTAAATGTTGTGCCTGTTTGACAGTAAAACCCGGATCTGAGGTTTGTGGTCTGTGAGTGGTTTACAGATAACAGATTAGAGGGGACAGACAGGAAAACTCAGAGGAACTTGTAGACATTTTCTGCTGCACAACAAACTCACTTTGACCACTTTAAACAAATGTTGGCTGTCACATTTTCTTTTATGATCGTCATCTATTAACTGCACTCTTATCTAGTCAGCTGACAATCTACTATGATCCAAGTTCAGAAAAATCTACTATAAAATGTAAACAACTATTATTCCCAGAAGCTGCAAAATACAGTAATACAGACCCCAGACTCATTCATGAGTCGCCCATAACAATAGTGCTGCTATTGTCTCTCTCAACACACTATGCACTCCTTCCTGACTTTATCTGCTATATATTCATCTCACACACACACACAGACACACACACATATATAAGAGGATTATGACTGAGCGCTTTGGCAGCAGTTGTAGCGAGCTGCCTAATAAATCTCTGCAAGCACACACGACTGAAACGGCACGGTCTCAGCTGAATAATTACAGAAACACTGAATAAAGTTACATTTTAAAGTATGTTCCATTGAAAAATACAGAAAGAAAACCCGTGGGTGTGAATGAGCCAACATTGGTCTTATCTTTGACGATGCAGTGACACAGTGAGTTGAACCGACCGAGCCTACCTCAGTAGAAAAGCTGCTATGATGTCAAAGGGAGACTGCAGACTTGCCCTGAGCAGATTTCACATTTTACTTAAAGAAGAGGAAACAACGAGGTAAAAAATACGTTGAGACGAGACAGACCGAGGAAGGGCAGCAGCTCTGATCGCTCCATGTGACTCAGCAACCGGCCCTGCAGCCTATCAGCTGAGCAGGAAGCAGGAAGCTGACGCTGCTTGCAGAAGGAGGTGGAAAAGAGCAGCTCCAGGCAAAAAGAACGGTGAAGTATGGGTTGCATTTGAAATGATCTTGGCAAATACAGGAAAAGCTTTCAAATGCGTTATTAGCAAGATCCATAAAAAGCCAGACTTTCAGGGATTTTTCTTGTACTGAAAACTGTATTACTATTAGTTACAAAAAAACTGTGTATTTCAGAGAAAATGAAACAGAAAAAGCTCTTTCAACTGAATTAAATCTTTTTAAAGAAGGAAAAAAGTAAGAAATGTACAGAAAGGATTTACTGAAATTTCGACTACTGTTTTAGGCACAAGAAGAACTCTGAATATTCAAACTTGAGCTTTGGGAAGTTAAATGGGCATTTCTCATTTTTTATTCTCTTAACCCTTAATCGAAAACCGGGCCACTGCTTATATGTCAGTCATTTTATCAGAAAAAAAATTCCCAGAACCTTCAATCCATTCATTTTCTGCAACTTCTGAGTCACAGAGGCGGCACTCTAAACCAAGAGTGCCCTGACCTCCCACCCTGCATACAGAGGAGTCTGGATAGACATAATCTCTCCACCACTTCCTCCCAGTTTGACACAGCACAAAAGCCTCACCTAAAAGCCATTTAG